TTGTATTTGAGTGCTGAATAATGAATTTTTTAATCAAAATATATTTTATATCAAATTCATCTAAACTACGAAGAGGAAAATTTAAACTTGAATGCATAAGAAAAGTACATTGTACCAATCAACTTGACTAAATCCAAATTTGCAATTATGAAAAATATTGCGTTCAACATTTATATGTGCATTTTGTTCACCCAAAAAAAAAAAAAAAAAAACATTTATATGTGCATAACTCTTCCGCTTGGCCAACCAGGGGAAGGCGTCATGTCATCATCCTTTGCTGCTGTACCACCAGAATTGAAGCTCTACAATTGATGTCCGGTGATGCAAGCAAGTCCCCTATGGTCCCTAGCTCCGGAAATTCACTCCATTCCGAAAGCCCCGCAGTCTGCTGGGACTGCTCCATATGCCTTCTCCCAACTATAATTAGGTCATACTCATCTACCATAGACCGAAGCACTAAAGCCGTCTGAGGGCCATCTTTCACAACCTCCTCCAAGTATATCACAAAACCCTCACCCACATCGTTATATCTAAAACCCTTCATTTCCTCGGCATCAAGTACACTATCCCAATCCGTACAGGCTTCAGAGTTTGCGGCAACAAGTCGGATCACGGTCAGGCTTATTGTGGAGTCGTTTGCCATTCTCTTGGCAAATGACAATGCTTCCCTATCGTCCTTCCCTCCCAAGAAGATTATAGCCACGGAGAAGGATGACTCGGGTGCTACAGCGGAGGTGGACCGTCCTAAATGGCCGTGGTCTACCAGGATTCCAACCGAACATGGGGCTCTTTCTAGGACACTGCAATTTAGGTTCCTTACGCTATTGTCTTCTGATTCCACCGACCCGTCCATCGACCATCTTCGGTGAAATGGGAGCACAATTAGGGAACAGAGTTTGTCCAATGCTAGGGTGCATATGTCTTCATGCATGTATTTTGGTGGAGAGATTGCTGTGAAGATGCTTAAAGATACAGCACCAAGATTTTCTCTAACAAAGTGGTTGAAGTAAAGAATGACATTGTCTGAGTATGAAGTACTGGAAGTAGATTTTTTCTGCATTTGGTGGGAGATGAAAAGAGGAGAGGCTCTGCCCACTAATTCAATAAGGTGAAGAACATGAACAGCAATCGGGTTGTCTCTAGATGGACATGCTGCATCGAGTAGATTGATGAGTGCAGGCATGTTAGCTGACCTATGAATGCAAGCAAGTATTCTGAGCTCAGAATTGGGTTTCAAATGCATCATATTCCTTCTTTGGTAACCGGCATATTTTCTAGAAGGATCATACAGGCAATTCACCAGGATTGGCATAAGAGTTGCAGTCACGATGACGCTAGTCATCGCCAAAGCGAATGCTGATTCACTGATGGTCTGCACATAAAGAAAATGAGAGACAATTGTTCACAATGGCAGAGCGAGAAAAAAAAAGTATCGGAGTTGCATATATATTTTTAGGCCTATTTTTTACTGCATTAGCTCATCACATGATATGATGAGTACATTATTTCATTTGACACTCATCGCATCAATTATCGTGTCTAATTATTAACAGATATAGCAATTGAATGTCACGATATCATGTGGTTAGATAATGTGATAATATGTCGCTCTTACTTTCAACTTAAGAGACAAAAGGGTCTGGGTAGAGAGAGAGACGGGCTACGTACCTGACTGTCTCTTAAGTCCGTATAGGAGGCAAGATTGACAATGCCTTTGCAGCACAAAATGAAAGCAATTGATAAGGCATCGACGAAGGGCATGTTGCAATACAAGGGAACAATCAGACTGGCTATAAATTTGGTCACAAGAGCGACAAGGATGAGGATTCCATTGATTTGTGCAAAAGAGTCAGTTAAGATATGTTCCAGGGACCAGAAATTTGTCCTCATTGCACTTGTAGTCACAAAGATGGGAAGCATCACATCAGAAACGAATATGTTGAGCTTTTCTTCAATAGCTGATCCTAGTGGTGGTCCGGCTGGGACAGCCAAACCAAATATAAATGGGCCGAAATAAAAACCCTGACCGTAAAGATGCGAAAGCAGGCCGGATAGTAGCACAAGGATGATGGTCATATTGACATAGCCTTTCTTGACAGGCCTATTTTCCGGGGTCTGCCTGATAATCCGCAACATTACCGGTCGAATTATGATAATCACAACCATAATATAGCCAACGGCTGCTGCTAGTGCTTTTATCATACCCCTTGTATCATGAGTCTCATTTCCCATTCTAGGAATTTGCCCCACTAATTGAAGGAACACACTGATTATGTCACTGACTAATGCGGCAGACATGCCTAATCGACCAATCTCCGAATTCAGAATTTTCAGCTCCTCAAGAAGGCAAGCCACAACCGGAAATGGAGTCATTGAATGTAACAGAGTCATGAATGGAAGTTCAAATTGTTCGTGTTTGGTTAGGCTGAACATTTTAGCGTTGAGCGTGGCTTGGACAGCCATAGTGACTACTAAAGGAGCCACGACGCATGCAACACCAGTGTACAAGCCTTTTTTACCTGTCCTTTTTATCATTCCCAAATCCATTTTCACTCCAATTAGAAACATGAAGAGCCCATAACCCAACTCAGACAGAAGACCGAGTGACTCTTGGCTGTTTACATTAAACAAGAAGTTCTTGTAGAATTCGTAGTGCCCAAGGAGTGTAGGGCTGAGGATTATGCCGGTCTACTTCACAAGAAACCATCTTAAGGGATCAGTAACAATTAAAGTAAACTTCGAGAGTACTAAATCTCCTCATATATTAGAGCACAAAAGAATATTCATACCAAGCAATGTTCTCTTGCCGTTCTATTTGGCCATACTGTGAATCTGAATTAATAATTAGTTTGGATTTGTTTGATTGTGTAATCAAGATTTACAGTTTGTCAACAAAACATTTGTATATGACAAAATAAATATAGCCAAAAGAATTTTACTCTGTTATATATTATACAGTCCCTTTCCGTTAAGGTATCCCTCGAATAAGCTTATTTGAGAGATCATTTATAGGGCCCACTCCACAAAGTATTTAAACGATTGACCGTCCATCTTTTAAGTTTTCACTCAGAGTATTCCAACCAAAAAATCACCACAATCCAAAACCATTTGATCGTTCCATTAAATGGTAGTCATAATAGTATTTCTTTGGATTTGTCTAATTTTTTGTCAGGATAATTTATGAATGATATACTTAAATATAGATGGTTTGGTTAATTAAAAAAGTTACGTAATGAGCACTAGAATGTGTCCCTCAAATAAAATTATTTGAGCGATCCTTCAACTAAAGATGAAATGTGTACATATATCACCACAATCCAAAACTATTTGATCGTTCCATTAAATGTAGACATAATAGTGTTTCTTTGAAAAAACTGTATCGTTTATTTTCTTCACTACAATTGGATGTTTTAATAATTTTGGGTTTGTCCAATTTTTTGTAAGGATGATATCTACTTAAATATAGATGATTTGGATTGTCCAAAAAAATTACAAAATAAGCATCACAATGTGTCTCTCAAATAAAATTATTTTAGAGATCCCTCAACGGAAGATGATCTGTGTACATATATATATATATATATATATATATATATATATCTTTTTTTTATTCAATAATTTTCATGCGTAATTTTAAACTTAAAATATTCTTCAGCAGAGTGAAAACTAGGTTTACTAAACCAAATCATCATTGGCTTAAATATATACATGAATACATGCTACAAGAGTAAAACCATATGCATGTGCATTGCTATCCATTCTCACATATACGTGGAATCCCTACCTTTATTTTTTTTGGGATAGAGAATCCCTACCTAATGATTAAAGCAATGTGATATAAATAGTTATATCAAAATAAGAGAGGTAAGAAAACACTTACTATAATTTGGCACGTGAACCTTGGAACTCCAAAATAGCGAAAAACGAAATAGAAGGCTTGTGTGATGATAAAAATTAAAACCATCTGTATCTCCAGATTTGGAAGGGTATACAGCTGATCATCACTATCTGTGTAGTTTCTCGAGTACAGGCCAGGTGAATGCACGTTAGGAGGGAACTCGGTACACTCAGTAACTCTCGTTTCCGAACTGGTTAGGTTGGCCGCCGTGTGAGTCGCCATTGTTTCGTGGCTTGAAGCCTCCCTCGTGTTCTCTCTTTTTTGATCAGAAAGGCAAGGGAAGGAAAGAAAGTTTGGGTTTCCCTTCTGCAAAGTTTAAGATCGATACTATTGTTATATATAATACTAGGGATATGTAACAGTAATGAAACTAATTAACCTTCCAGCATAGACTCTGAATGTCTAGAAGCCAAAGTTGTTTAAATTCAAAGCTATTGGATGGACAGATGAATAGAAGAACGAATTCCAAGGCAACAAAAGTCAGTTATATGCAGGCTTGATATTAGGGTTTATTCGCAAGTTAGTCAATAATAATAAAAAAGAAGATTACATTCACACACCCCAAATTACTTATCTCACACTTTTTTAATTTTTTAATATTTTTCTATCAAGAGTTAATGATGTGTAGAAAATATTAAAAATTTAAAAGAGGGTGGACGAAATAATTTGAGGTGTGTGAATATAATATCTCCAATAAAAACCACTAGCGGTGGATATTGGCACTACAAGAAAAATGACCTATGGATACAAAATTGAGGACACAATTATTTATTTTGTGGGTAACTAACCAATTTTACACACAAAAAAATTGTATCTGTTTCCTTTGTATAAAGGCACTAATTAATGTGCCCATTCTTCTACAAATTTGGCACAAATATTTTTTCAAGACATCATTATAAAAATAATGGACTCAAATTATCATTTGTGCCAACATTTTACTTCTAAAGACACAATTATTTATTTTTTATTATTTTTCAAATACTTAAGGCCCACTTTCTCTGCCCACTTTCTCTGCCTTTCTGTCTCTCTCAGTTAACCCACCCACACCCCACTTTCTCTGCCTTTCTGTCTCTCTCAGTTAACCCACCCACACCCCACTTTCCTCCTTAACCCACCCACACGCCACACCCCACTTCCCTCTCTCTCCCTTTAACCCCTCCCTCTGTCTCTCTACCCAATTTCTTTCTATCTCAGCCAAACAAAATCTATGCATCTCTCTCTACCACTCTTACTTCTCTCAGATCTGAGATTTTCTTTCGTTTTTTTCTTGGAAAAACACCTGTGCATCAGATTTGAGAAACACCAACGCCTCCGCATCTCTCTCAATCTCAATCGATCCGTCTCTCCCTCTCGTAGCATCTCACGCTCAGATCCCAACTGTCTGTCGTTTGAGAAAGAACTTGAAGAAATGCAAGAGAAGCTTCAGGCAACGAGGCTTTAGAAGGAGAAACCGAGAAGCTCCTTAAGAAGGAGGAGATCTTGAAGTTCAAGAAGGAAGAGCTCCAAACAAAGGGCCAAGAGCAAGACAAGCTTCAGATGGAGTTGAAGAAGCTGCAGGACTTCAAACTCGTCGAGTCGGTTAAGTCTGAGATCGGATCTAAGATTTTGAGGAAGCACCATCGTCTTCACTATTCCTCAGATCAATGCCATAAGGAGGTAGTTGTTTTATATTTTTCCTAATTCGCAATCAAGTTTTCCTTTTTTTTGTTTACTTTTTCAAATTTATCGTAATTTTTTTGGGATTCTACAGTATTTGGAGGCAAAGGGGTTTAGATGGTTTAGGGGTTCGTTTTTGACCTTTGATACCTTGTGATCGATCAACTGGAATTTCAAAATTGGATAGTCTGTATTTTTGTTAGCTAGCTGTAGAGTTGTATGATAAGCTTGGAGGTATTTGAGCTCATCTCAGTTAAATTTATACAATTATGTCCTATAATTTTTTAAGTTTTGAAAACCTGAGAGAAACAGAGTTCATTACCCTGTGGTTTTTCACGTGGGATATAATCCTACCTCTATACTTCTACAATTTTAAAACATTATCTTATATATGACTTTAAAGTTTTTGTTAATTAATTCTTTTTAATCAAATAGTATCTGCATTAGTTTCCTTTCCATATTTCTAGTGTTCTAGAATTTTTAGTTTGTGTGTAATGTTTGAATTGATTGTATTAAAATTGGTTGTGATTTTTTCTTTCTTTTGTATTACAGTAGAACAAAGACATAATCTAATCTATAAAGTTGTTTGTTTACATTCTTTGATCAGGAGCTGCTAATCAGTTATTAACACAACTTTATATTGTTGGGTATTTAAGGACTTATCATTGTCGTGATCATCAGTACCTATATGGCTATCTAGCTTGTGGTTGTGCTGGTCTCTCTATCGGTATGGCTATCAGCATTGTTGATGATGTCGGTGTTAGGTAATATCTCTCTTTCTCTTGGAAAGGATTGGCCTTACTCTTGCTAAGGGTGTAGATATCATATCTCTTTAATTGTTTCTTAATTTATTTTTTGCACTTGCTCCTTTGATCAATTATTTAGCTACATATATTAGAGTCATGATATGATGTGCATTTTCAGGTGAACATTTTCAGTATTATTTTAGATAGTATACAATACCAAATAATGTATTGAAATTTAATATTCTGAACTGAATTCGTCAAATTGTAAATCAGCATGAAGCTACAAGTAGCAACATTGTCAGGCACAAGGAGTTTAGTCTTCAAACACTTGGAATTGGTGGCTTAGGTGCTGAGTTTGCAGATATATTTCGAAGAGCTTTTGTATCCCATGTTTTCCCTCCTCACATGACAAATAAGTAAGATAACTGATTCTTCTAGTTGCGCTGATATCTTTTTGGTATAACTTTATACCACACTCCTTTTTGGAAAGACATTGACCCATGTCGAATCATGATTTAGCACATCATTTTGATGCTAGTACATTATTTTAACAAAGCTATTTGAGCATGTCTGAATGATTTTGGATATGCAACTTATCCTTAGATATAAGTTAGCTATTATCTGCATTGGTGATTGATGAGATTTCTGTTTTTGTGAACTGTGCTAGATTGTTAATGGCCCTGAAGTTTTGAGCAAGTTGGTGAAACTAAGAAAAATGTTAGGAATCTATATGCTGATGCTGAGAATGATCAAAGGGCTCGTGGTAAGGGAAATATATACATGTCAAGTGCACTTAGGCTGGTTTTTCAATAATTTCTAATCTCATTATGCCCTTAATTCCCCTGGAGACCAGAGTGGTTTGCATGCGATAATCTTTGATGAAATGGATGCTATTTGTAAGGTATAAATATTTCCTAGTCTATGCTTTTTACTAAGATTCTTATTCAACTATGATTTATTTTCAATTCAGAAAAAGTTGTGGGACTCTCAGTTTAAGCGAGAAGAGAATGTGGTTTAAGTGAGCTTCATTGCACTAAGAACTTGGGTCCATCGGCTGTAGTGTTGTGGGGGAGGATAGGATTCTGAAGGACTTGGTTGTAAATAACTGAAATACATGTATATTGTGGGATTTGTTGTAAATAACTAAAGTATGTGTATATTATGGGATTTGTTGATTTAAAAGAAAATTCAAATTTTCTACATTAATAATTTTTTTTTTTAAATAGAACCTATTGGGCACGATTTGAAAATTGTGCGTGTATGATCCTGTCACCTGCAATCTGACATGGTTGTCAGAATTAAGACACAAATAGGCTGTTATTTGTGCTGAACTCTTTGAGCACAAATAGCGATATTGTGTGCTATTAGCAATGGTGACGCCCATAGAGGGCACAGACTTAAAGATAGTAGCTGCACTGTTGCTATTGGTCTATGAGCACAATTGTTGGTGCTTTTTGATCTCAAAGGGCACAGATAATTTATTGTGTGCAGTGCTCATTTTTTTTGTAGTGTGGTGGTTAAGTAGTTGACAATTTGTGTTTAATTTTTTGTATTTATATTTTGTGGGGCTTTAGTAAGACCGAATCTGTGACGTCGGATTCTTCATCAAGGTTGCTAACATGTTAGTTTGACTGGCATTGACTTTTCTATAGAAAGTGGGTCATACAGAATGTATGAGTTGGCTAAGAAAGATAGATCATCATTTAAGGAAAGAAGCATATTTCTATAATTATACAAGAGACACCTTGTAAAACCATATAAAACCTTACTTAGTACAAGAGTTGAGATAAAATTGATTGTGCAAATAACACCTTTGACTTTATTAAGTTCATGCAAATTGAAATTGTTGGTGCCAAAACTCGATGGCGCTTGGCACGAGGTTCAACAGGTATATATTTCGGGTGTTGCTGTCCCTTGGTGTCACGGGATGACTTGAGAGAAAGAGAGAATAAGAGTGTCACTGTTGGAGGCTGCCAATAAACAATGTTTGAATGTGTGTAAATTTGCGCGTAAATTTAACTTCTTAACAAAATGATTGTGCACCAAGTTCTTTTTTTGTGCCTCGAGCCAACGAGGATTTCAAATTTAGTGTAACTTTGTGTATGCTTGGCTAAAAATTAAATAAAAGCAAAATAGAAACTAAAGTGAGAAACATAATGTAATCATTTCATGATGGAGTCATGACTACAAACCTTCGCATAAGTAAAATCTAAGCAGATGTGCCGAGCTACATAACTTGAAATGTAAATTGAGCGAAAATGTAAAGAAACCAATAAAACTTTAGCAAGATTCAATCCATGAAGGGCAAGATAATGATAGAGGAGTCCACTAAGATCAATGGTGTTAGATTGGACTTAGTACAAAACATGCACTTCATAGAGGAAATCAGAGTGGTTGGAATTGCACATCAACTGAATCATACTACGGGTGACAAAGTTGTAAGAGTTTTAGATCCTAGGGTTTGCAATTGCACATAAACCGAATCACACATCTTCGCCGCCTCAGAGTCTGAGGTTGTCAGGGAAGAAGCAGAAGTTGTTGTTATAGCCGTAGGATTCGACGGCGAGCGTGATGATGCAGGCGGATCGGAGGGCGAGGATTATGATGCCGAAGGTGAGGAGGCGTACCAGGATGTTCCGTAGAGGGGTGTGTTTCGGTGCAGGCGACTCCATGGAGAATTTTTACGCCAGCGAATTAAGAAATCAAAAGTGACAAGCTTGAAGACTATTTTAGGGTTTTGAAAAAGGGAAGGAGGTGGGTTTTGAAAACAGGGAGGGAAAGGCAATTTATGGAAAGTAACGATGGTGTACACTTGTCGAGTTATTATTGGCTGGTCCTTTCGAACGAGGCAGTGGGCATCGTTGTTAGGGTTATAAATTTTGTCCACACATTTAATCTCCTTAACATTACCCTAGGGTGTTTGCCGGCTTTCTTTTGAGGCTGAGTGCAAATAAAACGATTTATTATTTTTTTCCTACTCAAGTATATTTTCTGCTTTGAACTAACTCTTCTAGAATATGCATTAAGCTTCCCCTAATTATGTCTGATTTATGTAATTCTTTTAGTGTTTTGGTTACATTTCCTTGGAGTGTTGTACTTACACTAGCTAGCTTAAACTGCATAACAATAGTGTTTTTTTTCAAATAGATAGGGTTACATATATATTTTACAATTTCATCACTTAGAGTTTGCTAGCGAGTTCTATAAATATTCTAGTATACAACAAATCCAAAATACAATACTATAGGATCAATAAAAATAGAAATGTTCTTTGAACACTCGGGGAAATCTTGCATGTGAGAGAATGAAGAATTGATTTCAGTATCTAAAATTTCAAATTTAATAGACCATTCTCATGTAACAAGTACAGCGATCTTAAGAACATTGATCAATGCGAGTGAGTAACTGTCAATCGTTAATACAAGTGAATAAGGCAATGCATCAACAATTGATAATCACTTTGCACACATTATTAAGTCAACCGTTGTCAACACCCGGGAGATGGAGAGGGGGGTGGAACGCAAATGGAGCTCCTAAGTCCTAACCTTCCTCTAGTGTTATGATTTGTCAACCTATATAGCTCGGAGAGGCTGGGGAGTGAGATGGAGGCTAGAGCGCATGGAGGATTTGGAGACGTAGCTTATGCCGAGAAAGCATGGAAAATCCAGCTCAGCCGAAGTCTCTTAACCCTAAACATCAGAATTCCCATGCCGGCACCGACGAAGTGCAGGAGGCTCGTAAAGAACTGGTGGTGATATATGTTACTTGTAGATTGCAAAAAGTGCACTATTAATTCCCAATGATACTACATATGTTTGATAATGCTTAGATTATGATAAATGTTAAGGAAATTTTCTCAAAGTGATATTCTCTATGAATTTTCTGTCATCTCACAATTTAACGTCAATTTTTATACCAACATTATAAAACATTACGCAAAAAATATAATGTTGCAGAAAGTCCATAAAAAATCCTACTTTTAAAAGAATCTCCTAGCATTTCTCTGTTAATAAACTCCATGTATTTATTTCTGGGATACCTTTGTTCCCGTCTATCCAACATTTTCACCTACAAGTAATACCAACTTGTCTGGTTTTCCACATGCAATTCATGTCAAAAATCTAAGCAGATGTGCCGAGCTACATAACTTGAAATGTAAATTGAGCGAAAATGTAAAGAAACCAATAAAACTTTAGCAAGATTCAATCCATGAAGGGCAAGATAATGATAGAGGAGTCCACTAAGATCAATGGTGTTAGATTGGACTTAGTACAAAACATGCACTTCATAGAGGAAATCAGAGTGGTTGGAATTGCACATCAACTGAATCATACTACGGGTGACAAAGTTGTAAGAGTTTTAGATCCTAGGGTTTGCAATTGCACATAAACCGAATCACACATCTTCGCCGCCTCAGAGTCTGAGGTTGTCAGGGAAGAAGCAGAAGTTGTTGTTATAGCCGTAGGATTCGACGGCGAGCGTGATGATGCAGGCGGATCGGAGGGCGAGGATTATGATGCCGAAGGTGAGGAGGCGTACCAGGATGTTCCGTAGAGGGGTGTGTTTCGGTGCGGGCGACTCCATGGAGAATTTTTACGCCAGAGAATTAAGAAATCAAAAGTGACAAGCTTGAAGACTATTTTAGGGTTTTGAAAAGGGGAAGGAGGTGGGTTTTGAAAATAGGGAGGGAAAGGCAATTTATGGAAAGTAACGATGGTGTACACTTGTCGAGTTATTATTGGCTGGTCCCTTCGAACGAGGCAGTGGGCATCGTTGTTAGGGTTATAAATTTTGTCTACACATTTAATCTCCTTAACATTACCCTAGGGTGTTTGCCGGCTTTCTTTTGAGGCTAAGTGCAAATAAAACGATTTATTATTTTTTTCCTACTCAAGTATATTTTCTGCTTTGAACTAACTCTTCTAGAATATGCATTAAGCTTCCCCTAATTATGTCTGATTTATGTAATTCTTTTAGTGTTTTGGTTACATTTCCTTGGAGTGTTGTACTTACACTACCTAGATTAAACTGCATAACAATAGTGTTTTTTTTCAAATAGATAGGGTTACATATATATTTTACAATTTCATCACTTAGAGTTTGCTAGCGAGTTCTATAAATATTCTAGTATACAACAAATCCAAAATACAATACTATAGGATCAATAAAAATAGAAATGTTCTTTGAACACTCGGGGAAATCTTGCATGTGAGAGAATGAAGAATTGATTTCAGTATCTAAAATTTCAAATTTAATAGACCATTCTCATGTAACAAGTACAGCGATCTTAAGAACATTGATCAATGCGAGTGAGTAACTGTCAATCGTTAATACAAGTGAATAAGGCAATGCATCAACAATTGATAATCACTTTGCACACATTATTAAGTCAACCGTTGTCAACACCCGGGAGATGGAGAGGGGGGTGGAACGCAAACGGAGCTCCTAAGTCCTAACCTTCCTCTAGTGTTATGATTTGTCAACCTATATAGCTCGGAGAGGCTGGGGAGTGAGATGGAGGCTAGAGCGCATGGAGGATTTGGAGACGTAGCTTATGCCGAGAAAGCATGGAAAATCCAGCTCAGCCTAAGTCTCTTAACCCTAAACATCAGAATTCCCATGCCGGCACCGACGAAGTGCAGGAGGCTCGTAAAGAACTGGTGGTGATATATGTTACTTGTAGATTGCAAAAAGTGCACTATTAATTCCCAATGATACTACATATGTTTGATAATGCTTAGATTATGATAAATGTTAAGGAAATTTTCTCAAAGTGATATTCTCTATGAATTTTCTGTCATCTCACAATTTAACGTCAATTTTTATACCAACATTATAAAACATTACGCAAAAAATATAATGTTGCAGAAAGTCCATAAAAAATCCTACTTTTAAAAGAATCTCCTAGCATTTCTCTGTTAATAAACTCCATGTATTTATTTCTGGGATACCTTTGTTCCCGTCTATCCAACATTTTCACCTACAAGTAATACCAACTTGTCTGGTTTTCCACATGCAATTCATGTCAAAAATCGAACACCATTTAAGGATAACCCACACTCCCATGTATCGTACACGTAAACAACAAACATCGGATGCGTGAGCTGCTTGTACTCTTAACGGATCATGGAACCCTAAAAAGAACCCTAACTTTTGGCGCCATCTACAACTCACCAAACGACAAGTTGACAATCGCGGCATAAAACCGGGTTCACCAATAGATAAAGAGGATTAAGGAATAATTAAAAGGGAACAAAGATCAGTAAAATGAATTAATATAAAAATGGATTAAGGAATACAACCCATCTAATTAGATAAGCTATTTGCTTGGTCGGTCGGTGGGTGTGTGTGAACACTGATCGGACAGGCCTCAGCATCCCATTGGGTGTGTGGACGCACCGTGTGGCTCACGCAAGTGTCCTGTTCTTATGATCTGATCGCATCCCACCCACTAAGGATAACTTTTTTTTATTTATTTCTTGGGGAATTACAAATTTTCCACTCAAACTTTCGGTTTTCCCACTTTGGTTTCTAAATTTTTCTTTCATCTCAATTAGTCCCTGGATTTAGAATTGTTTTGTGGTGTGTTTTCTATTCTTTTGTACTCTCTTCTCTTTACCACACGATAGGTCAATAAAGTGCGAGTGGGTACGGAGAAGAAAACGACAAAAACTCATAAAGAGGCAAAACACCAATGCCCAAATAAAACTACAAAATAGCACAAGACTTAAAAGCACATAGTAAATGGTCATCTAAAAATTCTTAATACAATCAGGAAGGTCACAAAAGACAATAAGTCCCAACCCAAGATTGCTTTTTCAGATTATCAAGAAATTTAGACTTGTCGTCATTTGTTATTTTTTATTGCGAACGATACTATTATTTCAAGGTACATTAAAAAAATAAGGGGTTTTAACTAAAAAAAGTCATAGGTTAAACACCCTTAACAACCAGGACAATTCCTTACAAAGTCTATCATTTGTTCTCAATAAACACACTCGAAATGAGATATTCCCACAATTCAGAGGGCTTATTTGTAATAAACAAATAGTTAGAAAATAGACCATTCATGACTACTACAATTCATGACCCAATACTATGAATGCGGCTTAATATGAGCTGGACCCACCAAAGGGACCAATCCAGAAATGTCCATGTGGGAAAGTAACAAATAAAAGGAAATATACAAAATAGACCTTGACCAACTTGTGCACTAAGTAATGCAAAATCTACAGCTCAACATATTTGACCAATTCAAACCTCAGCTTAAGATGTAACTGATGACGATTGCAAATCTGACTACCGGTTGTGTTATTTGTACTCACTTTTACTTTGACATATATCTCAATTCTCAGCAATCAGATAAAATAGTTCTAGATGATCGAAAGGTAAAAATTAACAAACAAAGACGTATGAGAAGTAAAAAGACGTGGATGAATAACATCACTCCTAATTAAAAAGCATCATCTTATGAGTTCCACATCTTCTAGATGTTGTTGGCTTATAGAGAACAAAAGCGTATGTAACTTAAGTAATTAAGAGCCATTTATTTTTATATAAAGATTTTGAGTTTCAGTCGGATCATTTGAAACTGCATGTGAATTTTTCAACATTTTTCAAGTTAATGAGGGGGAAAAGAAACCACATTTCAAATGGTATAATATTGAACTAAAATAAACATATGTGGGATACAAAAAAAAAAAATTGATTCGAGGCTCTTTAGCTGAGATAGCAAAGAAAACCCTCAAAACAAAAAAGAAAAAAAAAATGAAAAGCCATTGACAAACTTTCTTCCTACGTGCCCATACAATTATGAATATACATAAAACAATCCCTGTAATTGTAAAAAAAAATATACACAACACAATAAACGAACAATAAAAGAAACGAATGGAAAGAACCCGACTGTGTGTGTGTGTGAATATCCTATCGGTTTAATCCCTTTCCCGAAATATGAGACTTCAAAAAAAACCCTATCAGCACAGCAATGATTCAAAAAATGCATCATCCCTTGGCTCTTCCTTGGCTTTAGAAAATATGTCACTAAGCTGTGTTTGGTTCATGTATGATCCCAAGGAGTTTCCGTCGAACCCCACGAATCCGTAACTTCCCGGGCTCTGCAACATCTCTAGGCTAAAGGGAGCTTGCCCTTCTGATGTTGGTTGCCTCAAGTTTTGAAGAGAGTTGGTATTAGCAGAATTGTTAGTGTGGTGAGTTATAGGCCTCATTGCTGAAGCTACATTGTTGTTGTTGTTTGGTATAGGCCTATTGACAGCAGCATGGCTGCCGCTGCCACGAGCGGCAGGGACGTCGTGGTTGTGCTTCCCTTCATAGGTTGTGATCACTGCTCTAAGATCGTGAGAAGCTCTCTCAACATGCTTTCTCACTGGACATCCTGGATTTGTGCACTTGTAGTAGCTCCTGCAATTTCACAAAAAAAAATAAACCTTTTGCCAAAAAAAAAAAATACAAAAATACATGCATTCCCATCAAAAGCAATTCATATTTCAAAAGTTTGAAAAAGTAAATATCAAAATCGTGATTACGGGGGAGGGTTTTAACTTTTTACCTTGGATTTGGGTTGCCTTTTACCACTTTCTGACCGTACTTCCTCCATCTGTATCCATCATCTAGAATATCAATGTCACTAGTTGTCTGAACTACAACTCTAGGCTCTCTCACTGTTCTACTCCCAGGTGCTGAAATTTCTTCATTACGATCAGCTTCATTTTTCCTGTACAGTCATGGGAAAAAGAAAAGTCCAATTACTCTCACAAATAATGGCACCAAACACACAAATAATGTACACATAAATCAAGGCTATAAATTTTAACACTTCTCCGGATAATCGATGTAAAATTATAAAATAATCAATTTGTAGCGCAGATGGTTAAAACTAGTGTCAAAACCGATACCCTTAAGTAATCAAACTTACCATCTTTTTGCATTAGGTTCATCTTCATCAAACTCCTCCCCTCCTCCTGACTTGCTCCTCTGAGAGCTCTGCTCAAAATCATCGTCCCCGATCGATATCGATGAATGCTCAGGAGTTCCAATGGAATCCATTTGTGAATTGCCATGATTAGCATAAGTTTGATCTGGGATTTCATTGGTGTTGGTGGGATTGAAAGCATGAATTGCATGAGAATTTGATGATGATCTTCTAGGGTTCTGTGGCTTGGGATGGTTGTGATTGCCCTTGTAAACAATCTCAGTGATTTGTCCATCCAATGACCTCTCTACTTTTTTTTTAGTTGGGCAATTAGGGTAAGTGCACTTGTAATAGCTTCTGGGATTTTCACTTCCCTTCACTTGTTTTTGACCATATTTTCTCCAATTGAAACCATCATCCGACTTCCTGCTCAAGGTCTGAGATTGCTGGTTGAAACCGCCATTCGCCGGAGCATTACTTTGGAGAGTTTTGGTGGTCAATTCAGATGACAAGGTCTGAACAGAACCAGATTCTTGCTTTGGGAGTTCTTGAGAGTTCCATGCCTGCTCTTGTGTCTGAAAGATAGAAATAGTAATCAATTAGTTGCTAAACAAGCAATCGTGTCGATAAATGAGATCAAATTTGAAGAAAATTGAGTTCTTGGTTTTAATAAAGACAGGACGCCCTGCCCAGAGACGGACCGTGTGACATAATACGACATTAAGGAAGTGAAAAAACAGATTACGTACAGTTTGAATTGAGGTGTTTGAGGATTGAAACATTGACGATGATGAAGAAATGGGAGGTCTTGCTTGGGTTTGGAAAGAGAAGTCTGAGTGGTTCTTGCTCTCCTGTTTTACGTTCTGTTGGTTGTTCTTCCAATTGAAGGCCCCACGAGCTGCAAAGCTTCCAGTAGTTGGAGATGGAAGAATCTAGTAAAAAATAACACAGAACAAGAGAGACACAATTAGTAAAATTATCAAAACCAAACAGTATTGCAACTAACAAAACATTACCCAATAATTAAACAGCAAAATTAACATACCCCAGAAAAGTAAAGTTCAGAAAATCAGAAGACTTTGACTTCAGAAATGAAAAATATCACACAAATATCCTCTTTTTCAATTATTATTTTTTAATATATCTTAATCTCTTCATAATCCTAACTGGGAAAACTGCAGAACCCAAGAAAACAGAAATCCAAAATATACAAACATAATATATATACATATACATACGTTTGAAGCGTTTAAGAGAACAGGAGAGTCAAGAAGCTCAGCTGGGCTCAATCCAGGTGGGATAGCAAAGTAGGAAGATGGAGATATAGAGGGAGGAGAAATGGGCAGTGAGGGCGGCGGTAGGGACTTGAATTTGGGTACGCCGGACCCAGTACGCTCTGCAATTCGATCCGATAGCCCGCCCTGGCCGATGTATCTAGGTGGGTTCGAGTACTCATCTGTGCCGGCTTCTAAGAGGTCGGAGAAGGAGTTGGTCATGAATGGGTGCGTTGAGAAAGTGAAGGCTGCTGGGTGTGAGTTTGCTGAGGTTTCTAAGCTCCCTGAAGAGGAGGCCATCAATCAAGAGAGAGAAAAACAGAGAAGAGAGAGAGAGAGAGAGAGAGAGATCAGTTTTGAGTCAAAAAATGGAAACGGACTTTAAGAGATTACTGTGGAAGAAGAGAAGAGGATGGTCACGTATTGCACACGGTTCTCTGTTCTTTCTTCTCTATGTCTTTTAGGGAGGTTTCTGAGAAACTCAGGGGATGTTTGACCGTTGAATAATTTTTTGTAACTTTTTTCGTTACCAAAAAAAAAAATAATAATAATAATCGTTTTTATTTGGAATTTTTTTGTGGTCAAAGATCGTGGGTTTGACTGGTTGGCGGCCTTAAGCTCTACTAGTTGTATTTGTATATTTATTTTAAGAAATATCAATTTTGGAGATTTAATTTGTAAACAAAAATAACTAATATTAACTGAATAAAATACATTATGAATAATGTATCTGATCTAACGGTTCAAATTCAAATCATCAACTAATACATACTGATCTCATTCTCTTAATATTTTTCATTTTCTCTTATTCGTTACCAATTATATAAATCTGAATTTGATATGGGTAATTAACTTATTAGAATATACTTATATTGTAAGTCTGTTGTTGGAACTTTTTGTAATTATTCAGTATTACGATTCACATTATTCATAATTTTTCATTAACGAGTAAAGTCCAATAATTTAGTTTAAGATAGTTTTGTATGTTTTTTTTTTTTTTTATAACAAACGATAAACTTTGTAGTAGTTTTTAGCACAATTATTATTATTTTTTTATGTTTATATTATAAAGAAATTATTAGGAGCCAATCTATGATAGGTTGTTTTGACTCCCTAAAGATTTATGAAAGAAAATTGAGGTTTCATTCTTAAACGAACTATAGTAATATAAAGAGTGATCCAACTCTCTATAAGCCTTTAATAAAAAATAAAAAATAAAAAAATAAAAAAACTCTATAAGTCTATGAGATTATCTAATTTCCAACGTGAGATTCACACTTTCAATAAGATACATCCACCTGCGCTTGAGTTGGTATCTACCATACCAAACCTTGAGTAATGAAGACATAATCATGTTTAGTCTAGTGATTTTTCGATTCAAACCATCACGTGAAACATTAAAAATATACTTTTGGGTGCCTTTCTTGCTTCCTTTTAGTTTCTTCTTAATTATAGTCTTCGAATTTATCTAAAAGCATGTATTCTCCAATTACTTTTACCCTTTTCATAGCATTTTTTCTTTACATTTTCTTCTTCATGTAATATTGAACTATGTGTTCAAAAAGAACTCTTCTTAATCTCCAGGCCATGATTGCTTTTCGACGTTTACGAAAAATCAAAGATGTTAAGAGAAGAGTTAGATAAGCTACATTAAGCTAATGCTAAAATAATATTTGAAATCCATTAATTTGAAACTTGTATGATACTCTAAAAGGAAATGAGGGGATTTCAGTTAGAAGTTGAAAGTAAGATGACCGTTGGATATTAAAATTAAGGAAAAACCAATGTGATTTGTGGATTAGCACAACCAATTAGCTAAGATGGTGCTTTTTGGTTATTAGATGCACCTAATATGAACTGTTTAATTCCAAATTGAAAAGGCTAAAATGGACTATTAGCTATTAACAAACATGTGTGATTATCATAAGGTTGACTACATTTCACATCCTTTCAGTTTGGGATGATTTTTAAGATACACCACAAAATTTCAATTTTCTCATATCGCGAATCCTGAGATATTGAAATGATAACTCATTAAAATTGACGATGTGATGATTTTGAGACCCTTACATAAGCTAATGTGTAAGCCAAAATTAAATTTAAGCTGTAAATTGAGCTAGTTTGTGGTGCCTCACTCGAGCTGTATCTTTCAAGCTGGCAAGTGGCAAGGATCCTACGTGAGATATTTCCAAAAGTCGTGCAATCTAGAAGATGCATGACATATATATCTCCTACCGTGTCAAAAGGGGCATTATCCACTGGCCATGCAATCTAGAAGTAAAGCATCTCAAATCTCTGTGAAAAAAGAAAAAGCTAGGATAGAACTTATAACGACACCACCTAGTTTATTCTCTTTTTACGAATGAAAATTATTATTGGTAATTTAAAATTTTTATTTTATACTCTAAATTTTTTATATTTAGAAAGAAAAATATATTTATAAAAAATGTAGAAAGAGATTTTTGAAATGTTAATAACAATTTCTTTACGAAAAATCTTTAGTAATTATGTATAATTGCATTCTACAAAAATCAAACAGCCTGTATTGATGAATGTTGAATCTAACGGTTGACAAAAATTCTGAAGTTGCAAGGGCCACTTGGTTTAACTCATCAATAAAAAAAGATTAGTTAGCCCACCAACTTTCATTATTCTCCTCAGTCCTCTCTCTCTTTCTCTCTCTCTTTACTTTCTCTTTGCTTCTCTGATTCCCTCTTTGAAGACGAGTCAAAAACCACCACCATCAGCCCTGCTCCGACATTGTTTTCATGTCGCAAACCACCACCGCCGCCTCAAACCCAGACCAATAGCATAGTTTAACACCACGACGACCCAATGAAGCATATTCGATGCCACCTCACCACCACAGGCACCCATATCAAACGGAACCCCCATCACCACCCAAGCGAATTACTAATTTCTCCGTCTAAAGCAACCACTTGGGAATATTTTTTGGAGTATTCTAAACTCAAATATTTTTAATATTCATTAGATTTTTGATTAAAAAATTAATGATCGAAATATTACATTTGAAAACTTAAAAGCATAAAATATTCCGGAGGACCTTAAAATTTTCATCTTCCAGAAAGCGTCATATATGCTTTGATCACATAAAGGCTTCTTTGTTGGTTTGGCCTTTTTATTAGTAAGATACATCATATGATTCTACTAAGTGGGTACACTAAGATTTTTAAGTCATTTTGTGCAAAGACAAAAACAAGAGAGTACTTTCAAATACAGTAATCCACCTCGTGGGTTTTCATATGCAAGGTTTTTAAGGATTACTTTTCTTATTTACACAATTCTACTTTCTTCATCTTTGACCCTCTATTCCTCTTCAAACCATATGAAAATGTGAAGTTCTGAGTTCAACCGAATCAGATGAAGTCTTCAGTCTTGTATCTCATGATTATTGATTCCTTCGATAGTGTTTTTTTGGTTAATTATTCGTTTGATACAGTACAATCTCTTTAAAATAATATTTTATAATTAGAATAATTTCCTTAAAATTATAAAAAAAATATATCTCAACTTGAGACCAGTTACTTATAAAAATAAAATCCCCATGTAATAATTGTTTTTTTTTTTCCAACACATGTAACAATTGTTAATGAGTACAAAATATGCAATGTCACGTACAAAAGTTTGTGAATTAAAATATTTCTTTGAAGTTGTTTAGGACAATGCATTAATTTTTAGAGTTGATGTCAAGTCATTCAACTTGGGTTACATAATGCTTCGTAATATGAACACCTTCTTCTTAAAGCCAAAATATTTATAACTTCTCAAGCATATTTATAGCTTCTTGGCATAAAACTTTTGGTATTCCCATATGACATCCCCATGAATTCTACTTAATAAGTCAATAAATAACACCTTTTTACCTACACTTTTATAAAGTAATAATCACTTTAAAATTATAAAATTGATTTGGTCTCAACTTTATAACGTTATAAAAGTTTTAATATTATACTTTTTGACAAAACAAAACAAATCAAATCAAAAAGATGAAAAAATAAAAACAAATAAAATTATATATAGTCAAAGCATAATTTTTGCATGGACTGATTGTCCATCACTAATTTAGAGCTGTCTCTGACATTTTGTGGGCCCTGTATGAATTAAAAAAAAATGCCCTCCTTATTTAAAAACATAATAATGTTGTTGGACAATTTATTCTTAGAAATTTCAATAATCAATATTCTAACTTAATGAAATCAGCATCTCACTTTTACGAATTGAGTAATGTCCAATTGCCATGAATCATGATTTAGGGTTCATTCATGAATAATGTCCAAAATGTATGGAAGAAGATGGCGGTAAACAATGTGAGGTGACGACTGTCGCCATACCAGCAGTGGTTCAGGTGCGGCGGGAGCAACTTGCACATGAAACCTGTGTGGACTGTGAGTCCTTTTTAGATTTCTCATGTGTTTTGCTCCACTCGTATAGGTTTTTGGTAAGTTGTTGCATTCTCCTTCTTTTGCAAATCATGAAGTTTTGCCGCAGTTGTGAAAAATGATAATGCATATACATCCTGATGCTGGTTTATCTTCACCAAATCTCCTTTTGCAAATCATGACGTTTTACCGCAGAGACATCTCATTCTCTAACATAAGTCAATTAAATAGTTCTCTTTTTCAATAACTTAGGTCAAAAATAATTTTTCTCAACAATTCCTCAAAAATGAAAAATTTCCTCGCCAACTTAAGGTTAACCTTCTTCATCAATCTGTCCTAAAAAGCACAAAATGTTGATTGACAAAATTCTAATAGTAATAAACATTTTATGAGTTCACATAAATTACTTTTTTTTTTTGTTCTTTGGTTCGAAATGATTTTTGGTACAGGGCTAGGCTAGTGGGCTAGATGTTGTTGAGAATGAGTCCCACATTGATGGGATGAGGGACCTTGCATGAGCTTATAAGAGGTTGAGCGACCTCCCATATTGCCAATTGGTTTTATGGTGGAACCTCAACTTTCTTCATGGTATCAGGGCAGATTGTCTTACTTGTGAAGCCAAACGGCCACATGTGCTCCAAGTCACCCCGTTGCGTTGTCCACGTGTTAGGCTCGAAAATTCGCCACACGTGAGGGGGGTGTTAACAATAAGTCCCAGATTGATGGGAGGAGAGACATTGCATGGGCTTATAAGAGGTTAAGCTACTCTTCATATTGTCAATTGATTTTATGGTGAAACCTCAACTTTCTTTACTAGGTTGCATGGATACTCCATAACACTCCAACAAGGTACTTTTCTCTTTGTTTATGAGACCCTCTCTGCCCGTCTGTGAGAATCATTCTCACCTTTGTGTGAGTGCAACCAGTCTTTGAAGATTCACGTCGCTGCCATC